GGGGTGGTGCTAAGGTCCTAAACTATAATTGCTTGCCAATTTATATGTACATACATACACACCTTGAATCCTCAACGCTATATATTATTTCTCATACGTCCATTATTCTTTTTTCAAAATCTAAAACTACCCATGTCTTATTTCACCACTCCTCTCTCCTCCATCGCAATTTTGATTTAGGGAAAATTCTCATAGCAAATGTTATTGAAGTTTTTACTTTTTCTATTCCAGTTGGTTCCTGCAGTCTTGAAACAATCAGACAGCCTGATTCTTCATTTCTTCAACATTGACTCCTGGTAAGATTAGTCTGTAGAATGTTTTAGCAATGCAGTTGGGTTTTTTTGGGTTTTTTTTATAAAAGTAGTACCGTATGACATTTTATCAAACAAGGTCAAAATGTCTAGTTTATTTGCTTCTACATTTTACTTTCACAAAAATTTTGTCTGCAGTTTAGCGGGTTGGCGCTTTGCCGTCGCGCGCAGGACACTCGAGTTCGATTCCCAAGTGGGGAGGATGTGTATCGAGCATCTCTGTCTTGTTGCAGTGTCGATGGAGTTGTAAAAAAAAAAAATTATACATTGGCATTTATGTCGTGTAACCAGCGATGCAGGAGGTAGAATAATGTTTCTATCTAACATAATTATAATTTGTATAATTTCATTTGAAGGCAGAACGCTTTTGTATAATAACCAGTGTGAATTAAATTGATGGGGATTATGCAATCATTTAAACACTCGAAACATTATTGTATCTTGTCCATTTGAGGTTTAAACTTGGACACAGTAAAACTAAAGTCATGCTAAAAGTTTTTAATGCTACTTACATTGCTCGTGTCATTAGATCCATGTATATTCTTTACACGAAATCTTTGTCGGGGGAACAAGGGCAAGTTGAAGGGATATGATTTTCTTTTTTTTTTCTTTTTTAAAAAGATTTTTTGGTGGAAGTTTAGCAATCTCGTTTTCTACATGAATGTGGGGGATAGAGAAAGAAAGAGAGAGAAAGAAGAGAGAGAGATAGAGAGAGAGAGAGAGAGAGAGAGAGAGAGAGAGAGAGAGAGAGAGAGAGA